TCTCACCCTGACGCAGCTCCAACTCCTGGGAGGAGCCCAGCGGAATCCCAGATGGAGTTTCAGGTTGCTCAGTCGGCTAGTCGACGAGACCAGCAAGTGCGCAGTTCAGCTTGGGCAGGTTTGCCCTGAGTTTGAGCTGGGTAGTGTGTTAGGATCTTTGAGCAGGAGTGGGGTGGGTTTGGGGCTGGTTTGGGTTGGCCGTTTAGTGTGGGTTTAATGTGGGTCTAGCGTAGGTGGGGGCTGTGGAATGGTTTCGCTGAGGCCGACAGAAGCCAAGGAAAAGCAAAGCAGGCGCTTCTCGAGGAAAGTTTGCCCCATGTAGCCGCGTAGAAACTCAGAGGCCCCGTCCAACTGCTGCTGCCGCGCAAGCTCTTGCTGCAGCTGCAGCTCGTAGAGCGGGTTTGGCGCCTGAGCAATGGCCGTGTCCTTGGCTTCTGTTTGGTTTTCGAAGCCCCACCAACATTAAAACACTTGGCAGCTTTTCTGAGACACCCACGTGTCCAAGGGCCTAAGCACACTGACCATGACAAGTCCTGAAACGGCAGGCCCAAAACATGGTTTTGGCGTGGACATCTTCACCAGGAGAAACTCATCTCCTCAGGGAGATGCGCCAAACACCGCGAAGTAATAGGCACATTGGGTACGAAAAGCTCTGCAAAGGCAGAAGTGTCGGTGCCAGGGTAACAACAGCCACAAACACTCAAGAACATGCAGGGGGCCGGTGATTCTCCCGTAAGCTACTTTGGTCAACCACCAGGGCCACGCATGCGCGACATGGCCGAGGTGCTTGGAAAGGCTCCGCCGCCACGGTGCGAGCGCTCGGTGCTTGCAGAAACGGAGGCGCGTCTTCCTGGCTGCCCTCTGAGAGGCAGGCGCGCTGAGGATGGGGAACTGACTAATGCCAATGATCAAATGTACCAAGAGACCAGCAGCTTCAGGCCACAAGAGGTCGTCTTCTTAAGAAATGTAGCGTGGCTGCACTGGAGACATGACGTCAACTTTGAGCTCTGGCAGTGAAGCATGTAGCCACCAGACGTTCACATGGGTGCCAGGGCTCGATCAAGATGATGCAGACTCCTTTCAACAACAAACAACGTCATGAGTTCAACCAATGACAGGTCAAAGGCGGTTCGGCGATTAGTTGGCCACAAAGCTTACAGGCTGTGTCATGGGACCACGTAAGGTAAGGCTTACCAGGGCTCAGGCCAGTGCAAAAAGCATCTCATCGACACGGCCAAGCTCAAAACTCCCTGTGGGAATCTTGAATTCAACGTTAAGGGATCGGTCGCGCATGTCATTTGAGTTATGTGGGCTGGGAAACCCATGTTTTCCGAGCCTTGGCTTTCCGCTGCTCCTGCCTTGGTCACGCAAGATTCCGAGGGTCGAGCTCAGAATTGAACTATGGGGACTGCTTTTTCAATGCTGGCGACCTTGGCCAACTGCGGTAAAGATGCATGCGTTTTATGTCCTTCCTGTTGGAACCCCGCAAGGAATGCACTTTGGAACCGGTAAGCATGAACCTATTGATCCTATTGATTCCGAGGGAGAAGGCTGGCCTTGCAAGGTGTGAAGGTTAGGATGGCCTTTCTGAAAGGATTCCAGGACACCAAACCAGCCAAGGTGAGCAGAGAAAAATGGGACGGGCAGCCAGCTTTCCAAGACATCTGCCCGGTCTCGAGCTCAGCCCGGGGAAGCTCCCTGGCCCGCGACCTGAGCTGGGAAGGGTCTGATACCCGCAGGGACCGATCTTTCGGAGGCTCACATCGGAGGGTGAGACGGTGTCGTGCCTCCTAGTGCAGTAGTCCCAAACCACCAATGCCTGATCATGTGTTGGACGCGTGCAGCTGTGCATCGCCCATGGAAGGAGGGACGTTGATGGAAGCATCAGCCCTTTGACAGAAACATGAGAACTGACCCGAAAACGGCGAATTTCACATGGGAAACTTCACAAGAACCGCAAAGGCCACCCAGCTGCCCCTGCCCCTGAGGCGCCAGCAGAGTTTCGCCAGGTTGAAACTTCAGAGTTTCGCAAGCCTGAGCCCAGTCAACGTGACTGGGCGCGATTGCAACTGCACACCGCTTGTCTGCAGGTGCAGAAGGTCCAGAGGAAACTCAGAAGCTTCGCCGCGTTGCCTGATTATGCGGCCTCTTTTCATGCACTGCGCAATCCGCTCGCCAGCATTCGAGTGGGCAAGGCCGACTGCCCGGTCGAAGCCTGACCGGGTCTGACCACTCTCACTCAGCTCACCAGGAGCAAAGTAACGAATTCGGAAGTCTACCGGTCGACCCTATCAGCTTCACGATGCCCTGGCTGGCGCCGATGATGCCGCATTCGCGTCGCCCTCTACGCCGGCCTCCTGAATCAGCTCTGAGATGGACTTCTCAAGGTCATCAATGCGGGCACCCATGTCATCAATCCGGTTGACGATAGAGTCAGACATCGTCTGAAAGCGGCCCTGCATCTCCTTCAGCAAGTTCTGCACGAACAGCGTCAAGTCCTGGTTCTGGTCATCCTGGCCCTCCATGCTCGCGGGGATCGCAAGGCAAAGGCACACAGGCTTGAGCACAAAAGCTAAGCTTAAGGACGTCTCCTGAAATCAATTGCCTCCTGCCCCAAAGCCAGCTTCCGCGCCCAACAAAAAACATAGTTGTGACGTGCATGGCTTGCTGCACGGCACATGCACCGATAACACAACATGTGACACCGCCAGTTCCACACTTGGAAAAAGTGCCCACGGAGGGCATCTTGACGCCTTTGTAGGCTCACCAGACCGTCAAACCGTCAAGCCGTCAAACCGTCAAGCCGTCAAACCGTCAAACCGGCAAACCACTGATTCATGGCAGGCCTCAAATGGGATCAGTGAGCTTTTGGCAGCAAAGCACATCACTTTACAGACCTTTCAAAACGCCCCAGGCCTGTGAGAGGGAGCGCGAGTCCTGTGTGGAGCTGGCAAAAATATCAAGCCCTCACTAAGAAGTAGCTGCTTGCCAAGAGGAGTCCTCACAGCAGTCCAGTGGCGACCAGCTGACCCTAAACGTTGTGTCGCAAACATGGCCCTTGCACAGGCTTGCAATAGAGCACAGCTGGCTCCAGCTGTGCTCTCGACATCAAAAAGGCTACAATGCGCCGGCTCAAATGTATTGACGGCAAAGGTCTCAAAACATGCCAAGTCTCTCCCTCAACTGGCCGCGCCTTGCAAAAGGCATAGCCACCATAGCCTCTCCCGCGCCCTGTCGCGCATCACCCAATGGGCATGGTCAACAAACCGTGCGTGTGGCCAAGAAAAAAAGCCCCCAAAAGACGCCAAACAACAGAAGCCAAAGAAGATCTCTAGTTGCCGCAAGGACCGAAGACTTTCACTTTCAACGTAGCCAGAATACTCTTGAGTGGACTGCGAAAACCTTCTGCTTGAAGAGCACTGGCCTCTTGCCCACTGGGGCCACTGGGGGGAAAGCAAAGCTCTTAGGGCCGCCGAAGACTTTCCCTCCAGCAGTCCGCGCCTGCGCTCGCAGGCCGAGCCTTCACCTGTTCGAAACCCCACGGACGTGCCTAAGCGCAACAACTACCGGGACCAACCTTGACAGCAGCCACAGATCGCGGCCGGGATCCCGGAAAGTTCCGGCGCCGCCTCGGGTGCCGAGGCGCAAAGCGTCGCAAGATCTGTGGCGCCCGCTTTTGGGGAGGCACGGACACGCCCTCAAACACGGAAGTCCGGCAGAGTGCGCAGCCCACCTGGAGAACCTCCCGAAGAAGCGTTAAGCCCCATGGCACTCATTGTGAGCACGACCGGCACGCCAGTCTTGAACTGTGCTAGCCCAACTGGATTTTTGGGCTGGAGGCTTCATAACTGCTCATGGCACATGGGTCTACCATGGAACCAACAGCATAAGGACTGGTTTTCAGAAGGGTGTAACTCGCTGAAGCGTTCCCGACGCCCCAAACGAGAAATCCCGGGAATCCTACGCGATCGCGCCCGTCTCTTCTGACCTCCGAGGATCCTGCTCCAACGGTCCTGGCGTCACTTCAAGTAAAGGCAACAGTTGCGAACAGAACCGACAAACAGGAAAAGAACTTTTTAGATGTTCATAGAGAGAATGATCTAAATAAACCATTTTGCGATTTCAAACATATTGGGTATGAATGCAGGATTGTTCACAAAGCAGGGGATAATGTATATCTAAATATTAGGTCACAGTGTCTGATAGACGACCAGATCAATAGTGACATCACGGTAGACAGAGACACAGTTTACAACAATATGACTGAAGCGATGTTTACATTCAAAAAGGAATTATTCAATACAAATCACAAGTCTTATTACAGTCCTACCGATATACAAGTGTTGAATAGTTATAGGACGATCGTCCCACAAGGCGAGATATAGAGTTGTCTGCAATCGTCATCGCCTTCAGTGTTTCGTTCGCTAGGCTCTTAACCTCATGTCTGCTTCACCTAAGCTTCCATTGGTGATCTGTGTGCCAAAATTTGGATTCTCATGCGGGCGCTGGAACGTTGGCCCAACCGGACATGGTTGCCAGAGCGCCTCAACCTTAGCAAGCTAATGGTGTGAATTATAAGAAGAACCAACGTCCTAAAGCAACTCACAGCCACGAATCACCTGGTGCAAAGCACTCCCAGTCTTGGAAGCAAACACTGAGCCGGGGTGACCTTTTTTGCCGATCGCCTCGCCATGCCACAACTCACAAAAGCCGTCCACAAATCACTGCTCTCAGCAAAGACGACCGCAACGCACAACCTTGCAGGCCATCCCGCCTGGCCGGGCCGTGGCACAGGGAAGCGCCTCAAGCAACACGGGACACAAAGCAGAGTGCCTCTCGCCTCTCGCCACGATTGGGTCCCAGTTGGCATTGCTTCAGCGCCTGGACTCCTACTATTTTTCCATGAGGGTACATGCTTGCGCCAACGCAGAGGACCCTAGGTGCTGCACCTGTGCTCCGTGCTCCGCGCTCCGCGCTCCGCACTCCGCACGGGTTAAAATATGACATTTGGGGGGGGGGGTGGACTCCACCCACCTCACCAACTCTTTAGTTTGAGGTCCCAGCTCTTGCTCTGGGGAAGCCAATCTGCTGGATCGTGCCACTCCAATGCCTCAAAGAATGTCTGCATGCGTCGCGGCTGCCCCATGGAACTGACTGCAAATCCTGCTGTCGACGAGGTAAGGAAAACCCCATGCATGAAAAACCACAATCCTCGCAGCCGCTTTTGTTTGTGCCAGCCACTCCGGAGGTCACAGCCAACGGGTGTTGAACAGGACACCGACAAACCCAGGTTGTCGCCACAACCCACGGGTCACGAAGACAATGAATCTTGCGCAAAAACCTGTCCCGTCCACCAAACAATTGGCAGAAAGTTGGCTGGAGCGCTGCAGCCATGAACAGTCATCACGGCCATAGACATTGAGAACTGCAGGATACATATCTGTTTCTTCTTGCTAAGGACCCAGCTTGGCCATGCGGCGGTTGCTAGCGGCGGCTGCATGGGGCTGCTCCGGCCTGGCGTGCCGACACTTGGCTCGATGACGTGGGGCGTGCCAAAGGCCACACAGTGCTGTCGGAGCAAGGGCGCTCCAGAGACGCATGTTCGGCAGATGCACCTTCATTGAACAAGTATTCACACGATTGCCCCAGCTTCTCAGAGCCTTAAACAGGCCACCCTAACAGGCCACCCGTAAACAGCTGCCAGTCACTTCAAGGCTTGAACTTTTCGGAACTGCTCTAAACTTGGCCATGGGTTTGAAAGCCACCACCTCACCACCAATCTCCGCAAAGCGAAAAGAAATAAATTCAGGATTGCCCCATCCGTAGTTTGTGGCTGAGCGGAGTGCACATGCACAAACTGAGATAAGAAAGCATATTCTTCATGTATTCTGCTGGGTTGAGAAGGGCCGATCGTAGGGATGGAAACGATTGCAGCCCGACTAAATTAAGCGCCAGCAAAGGACAGCGAGGCACAATACACAATGAGTGACAATTGGGCTAGCATTGCAGGATGTCACAAGTCAAACGGCTGGCGGCTGAATGCCAATACATCGTAGAACCTGCAACAATCAAGCCACGAAGTGCTTTCACGGTTTCTGAAGTCAAGTTTCGTTTTTGGGTGCATTTTTTGTGGCGAGCGCTGCGGCGGAGCGCTGCGGCGGAGCGCCGCGGCAGAGCGCTGCGGCAGAGCGCTGCGGCAGAGCGAAACGAAGCAAGAATGGGATCCTGCATGGGGACTTTTGACGCGGCCAAGTATCTGTTCAAGGCACTTCCTGATTAAGCACCCTGCCACAGCAGCTGTTCTCGAAATGTTTCAGGAGGTTGCTCGGCGTGGCAGATCGGTTTTGGACCAATGCAGCTGCACATCCGGACCTGGGACCTGTGGCAATCTTATTCCTCTTGGATTCAGTGCGCAGCCGCGTGCGGAAACTTGCTGAACCAAGCGGCATTTCCAAAAGCGCACCATGAAGTTCTGGATCTTGAATGCGGAAGGCCCGACACGGCATGCTCAGGAAAAAGACACGAATCCCACTCCCTCCCCCATCCTGTGCTGCGCGATTCCAGGCTTGCTCCGACCTCAAGCGCGGCAAGCACCTCGACCCAACTCTGGAAAGCATGACAAACCAAATTGTAAAGTGCCCATCGAGGAGCCAACCCAAAGCCAACATCCGGGCGGACGTGTGCGGCACATTTGGTTCTTCAGCTCTCGACGCCAAATCCCTGGCTTCCCTGGGAACTTTTGGGGAAAGCTGCAAGTAGCCCCGAACAAAGCTTCTGGCATCAGGCCACGCCCCTGAGGGCGCCCGGATCTCCTCACTGCAGGCGCCGGTCCGGATGTCACTGAGGCTGCCAGCCCGCGCTTGCACTGGCCCAGACACCTGGCCGATGCTTCTCTGAGAGCAGCGGGTGAAGTGAAGCAGCATGTTTCAAGCATGCGTCTCACACGCTACGGACAAAGAACCTCATACATGTTTGCAATGGATGGAATGAATCCCTTCCGGCTTGAAGGCAGGCAAAAGCAATAAATGCAGCAAAACAAGACGCAATTTTATCTGGCAGTGTCATCTCCATAACTGGCTGCATCTGATACGGCTTCTAAAACGAAAAGGCTCCATCGATTCTAGCTCAGCCATGTTCAGACGCCGATTGGCGAAACCACTTGGAGGCATGCAAGCAACCAAAGTTGCTTGCATGCACGGGTCAATGGTTTCGGAGACATCAGCTCAATGGGCACCGTGTCTATGCAGCAGTGGAACCGTCAGTCTCTAGGACAAAGTTGCGCCAGCCGATGTGTATCAATCAGCACCTGCGCCTTGGGCATGCCATCTACTTTGAGCGGCCCAAGGCTCTTGAAGCGCTGGCACAGGTAGTTGCACTCGTGGCTCTCCATGCATTTCCGCATGCCTGGCCGCCCCAAATCCCCAGGGCCAAAGCCGCCCCAACTGGAGAGGATTTGGGGATCTGTGAGCATTAGCCCACCGTCTTGGCGGATGCCTGGGATGTCGGCCACCATCATCCTCTCGTCTGACATCTTGTACGTGAAATGCAGGAAAGCCTGGGCTTCCAGAGGCTGGTCCAGCATGTTCACAAAGCCGTCATTCCCATTGAACTTGATAAATCGTGTATTCAAATATGGCTCACCTGCGAGAATGTGATTGGTGCTGGCTCCCCATGAGTCAAAGGATGAACATTCGTAGACCCAGCTGCACACGAACTTGAAGTGATCGTGCGGAATGGCGCAGCACTTGCAGAACTCGGCAGCCAAAAAGGCGGCCACCGCCAAGCTCTTAGCATCACGTTCCACTTCCTTGAGGCCATATGCTTCTGTAAGCCAGCGCCCTACCTTGCAAACCTGAGCATCGGAACCCTGCTGCATCAGATGCACTTGGCGCATGGCCCCCCGATCAAACGGCAAAATGCGCACTGCGACCGAAATCTGCTCGGAATCTTCCTGAAAGGCACCATCAAAGGTGAAGCGCCTGCGCCTCCCCTCCATGTAGCTGCTGTTCTTCTTGTGAAAGCCTTTTGTGCCCGGAAGCTCATATTGGTCGCTGCGCTCCTGGCATGAGCCCTATGGTCCTTTTGTGGCGCGTGGGACACTCAAAACAACGCTCACTCACAATACACGTACTGCTCTTCGCACCAGTCCTTGCGATTGTTTCGTGAGATGCGGGCGTGGCCATCACTGCCAGTCACTTCGCTTTCTTTGGCAGCCTGGGCCGATTTGACGGGCTGGGAAGGTAGCCCTTCTCCCGCGGCGCATCGTTTCTTGCCGCTGTGTTTGTTGACTCTCCTATCATTTGGAGGGAGTGCTCAAGGCCAGGCTGCAAGCGACATCTTCCCAGCCAGTTCCAGCCCCCACACACACACACACACTCAAAAAGAAAAAGAATACACCAGCGCCAGCATAGACCCCAAATTGCAGGGGACATAACAACAGCGCCCTGACCAAATGACTGCATCGCCATCAAACAGTGTACCCTAGCCAGCACCCACAACAGCACGCCTGGCACGCCTGCATTGCCAAACTAGCGCTGTCAGCAACTGCTACCCACCTTGAGCGCATCAGCCCCCAACCGAGCAAGCATCGCCAGCCAACCACCCACACCACCTTCAGCACACCAGCATCCGCAACAACACCAGCAAGCGCCGCTAGCCAACCATCACACGACCTTGAGCACACCACACCTGACATGCACTCACTACCACCGGCAACAGCCCCCAAAACAACATCCTAACCAGCACCCTGACTGCATCGCCAAATTCAAACAATCACCCGCAACCACCACAGCACCTTGAGCATGCCAGACGGCACCCTGACCACCCTGACCACCCTGACCAGCACCATGGCTGCTTCGCCAAACCAACCCGACCAGCAAGCACCGCACCACAACCACCTGGAGCACACCAAACTGCACCCAGACCAGCACTCGCAGCAGCACCTTCACCGGCACCCACAACAGCATCCAGGCTTCATCGCAAAACAAGCATGCCAATGCCACAGCACCCTGCATCGCAAAACCGGAACCACCTGACCAGCACCTGCAGCACCAACCTGGCCGTGAAAAACATAACAAGGGTAAATAGGGCTGCTGATTCAAACGAGATGTGCCAAATTCTGGCACATGCCCGATTCTGCCAACCATGAGTCACCTGCTGGCGACGCTGTGTGATGGTCTTGGAGACTGTGGCGAACGCAGTTCTGAGGGATCGGATGGATGACTGACACGACATGTACATGCCGTGGCCCAAGCTTGCCATCTGATGGAGGATATCGCAGTTGTCCTTGGCTCTCTGCTTTCTTACCCTTCTCCGTCCCCTCGGCTGCTGCCCACTTCCCCGTTCGAAGTCAAGAAAAACGGAAGCTGCAAAGGCTGCCAATGGGAGAAGGCTCGTGTAGTCCAATTGCATAGACCTGCAGCGTGTCCAGGGGCAGAATCATGGAATTTGAACTCAGCCAGTTCAGGTATTGGCAATAGAAGCTCAAGTAAGGTCCTGCATCCCCTGGCCGAGCATCTGAAAAGAGAATGACCCGCGTACGTTCCCTCACGTCGGCAAAGTGGCGAATACTCTCGACGACTTTCGTGAAGGATGCCCCATGCTTCGGCTCCACCTCGCAGGTCTCCTGAAAAAATGTTCGCAAAACCAAAGGGCCAAAATCAGGCTGAATCCCCCTCAGCAAAAAAGCTCTTGCAAATTGAGGCTCCAGTTGCTGCTTCAGCTGCTCTGCAGAGGCTTGCCTGCTTGCTTTCCCTTGCCTTCCTTCGCTTGACCTTGCTTTTTCCCTTGCGTTGCCTTGCTTTCCCTTGCTTTCCCTTTCCGTTGCTTTCCCATTTCCTTGCTTTCCCTTGCTGTCGCTTGCTTTCCTTTGCTTTGCCTTGCTTTGCCCGTGCTTTAGCTTGCTTTGCCTTGCTGTCCCTTGCTTTCCCTTGTTTTCGCTTGCTTTCCCTTGCTGTCCCTTGCTTTGCCCATGCTTTTGCTTGCTTTGCCTTGCTGCCCCTTGCTTTACCTTGTTTTCCCTTGCTTTCCCTTGTTTCCCTTGTTTTCCCTTGTGTTCCCTTGCTGTCCCTTGCTTTCCTTTGCTTTGCCTTTCTGTGCCCGTGCTTTTGCTTGCTTTGCCTTGCTGTCTTGCTGTCTCTTGCTTTCCTTTGCTTTGCCTTGCTTTGCCTTGCTTTGCCTGTGCTTTCGCTTGCTTTGCCTTGCTGTCCCTTCCTTTCCCTTGTGTTCCTTTGCTTTGCGTTGCTTTGCCCATGCTTTTGCTTTCCTTGCCCTGCTATCCCTTGCTTTCACTTGATTTCCCTTTCACTTGCTTTCCCTTGCTTTCCCTTGCCTTCCTTTGCTTTGCCTTGCTTTGCCCGTGCTTTTGCTTGCTTTGCCTTGCTCTCCCTTGTTTTCCATTGCTTTTGCTTGCCTTCCCATGCTTCCCTTTGATTGTCCTTGCTTTCCCTTTCCCTTGCTTTCCCTTGCTGTCCCTTTCTTTCCCTTGGTTTCCCTTGCTTTCCCTTGCTGTTTTCTTGCGGTCCTTTGCTTTCCTTTGCTTGTCCTTGCTTTCCTTTGCGTTGCCTTGCTTTCCATTGCTTTCCCTTTCCCTTGCTTTCCCCTGATTTCCATTGCAGTCCCTTGCTTGCTGTCCCTTGCTTTCCTTTGCTTTGCCTTGCTTTGCCTGTGCTTTCGCTTGCTTTGCCTTGCTGTCCCTTGCTTTCCTTTGTGTTTCCCTTGCTTTCCCTTGCTTTTTTGTTGCTGTCCCTTGCTGTCCTTGCTTTCCCTTGGTTTGCCTTGCTTTGCCTTGCTGTCCCTTGCTGTCCCTTGCCAGCTTGACCCAAGTCAGAGCAAACCAACAACTGCACAACCCTCCTGCACTGAATCACATACAAGCAACAACCCAAACCAGCGCCCGTACTTACACACCCCGTGTCGTCTCCCTGGGACCTGCAAACCAGCCTTGCGGTGGCAGAAAGTGCTCCAAAAAATACTCCCAAAAAATGGGAGTATTTTTCCTGCGACATCCCCAGCATCGCCGACCACCACAAAAACTTCCAAAACAAGCGACATCCCCTGCATCCCCGGCATCCCCTGCATCCCCGGCACCCCTTGTGCGCCCAAGTCCGGCGAGGCCGGAAGCAAAGTAAAATGATGTAAAACTGGCACGCTTTTTGGCCCGCGAGAGCCACAGACGAAAAGGTCAGACATGATGGGCAGCGTCGACGAAAAAGCGCGAAAAACACGGGGAAAAACACCAAAAACCAGCCTTGCGGTGGCAGAAAGTGCTCCAAAAAATGCTCCAATTTTTTGGGAGTATTTTTCGGCTGACCAGACCTGCAAATCACCCGGAACGAGGTTTCCCCCCCCCCCCCACCCCCCCCCCCCCCCACTTCGTACACTAACTCCCAGCGCTTCAAGAAGCGCTTTCCGTCATCGGCCTCAAGCCTTGATCTGAGACCATCACTGCAGTGTATTTATCCTGGCCATGGCCAGGATCGTTTTCCACGTACTCCTTCAACATCAACAGCGCCCCGTCGATTCGCCGCAGGACCCGCCCTTCCAACTTAAGGTCTCTCGTGGCCATCGACTTGGAGCTATCAACGATGAAGACCACGTGGCAGTAAGGGCCTCCACAGGTGGCATGGCGGAAGCTTACCGAGTGACATTGCAGGGCGTTGCAAGGCAGAGGCGGCAACTTGTGTGGTAGCATGTGACATTCCCAGGACAAAAGCTTGAAGTGCAGTGCTAACACATGGATTGAACGGCACCCCGTCAACAACAGCATGAGTTTCCCTCGAACTGCTCAAAGAGGCGGCAACAGAACGTCCCTCCATTCGATGCACAACCTGCACGCTCGGCGAAAGTGCCTACTTGAAGCTCGGGCTCCCACGCGTTGCCCGCACGAGTCAACTTCCAGAAGCCAATCTGGGCCCAGGGGCTAGCATTCCGGCGCAAAGGTCGTAGACGCACTCTCCTGAAATGGGATCTGCTTCGTCCTTGTCATTGAAGGCATAAAGAGATCTCTCTACCCCCCAGCCAGAAGGATCGCATGCTCCCACCTGTTTGTTTTGAAGTTCCAAAGGACGAGACACTCCAACTTTGCCTCAAAGACGAAGCTCTGCCGCGTTTGCGCCTTCTGCTTCCCCTTCATGGTTGAGGCATGCTTCATCTTCACGGTCTGGACATTAACATAGACAGTCCCTGGAATGACCTGTTCTGACAGCTGGGCTGCCCTCTGTAGACTTTGGAGTACGTGCCACGATGAGCCGGGCAAATAACAGCAGGCTTTGCCTCACTGCCTGTCAGCCCCAAGGAGCAGTGAGTTTAAAGCACAACCCAAACAATGGACGAACTCAAAGCTCAAAAATCAAGTACTGACAGAGTGGCGCTGACTGGTCTTCGTTGCCTCCCTGATGGGGATCAGCTTCCGGAAGTTTGCCAGGTCATCGAGCGACATTTGTGGCCAGCACGTCTGACCATTTGTCACGGCTACCAAGATCTGATTGGGCAGACTGTGTGAGCCAGGGGCGCCAAGTTCCCTTCAGCAAGACAATACAACGGCAAGGTGCAGTTTGGTCCTGAACCGTTTTCGAACATCAGGGCCATAGACTAAACAGCAGCTGAGACACATGTGCCAATGGCCCCGGAATACCGGCAACAAGAAGGTCGCCCAAGAAAGCAGCAGCTGACACGACCGTGTTGGATTGCAAGACGCACCCCAACCAAAGCGTTGTCATGCAGCGAATCGCCTTGTGACGCACCACATTGGCAAGCGTCCGGCCACCTGGGTAGTTTTGGCACTTGGCAATGACAAACCTCGGGGCAAGAATAGAACCACTGTTCGTTTTGGAGGGGGCGTTTGGCGCATCTGTGGGAGATGGCATTTGCTGAGTGGGTTCACGCTTCCAAGCGGCCAACCAGGAATAGCCACCACATGTCAAAATGTTCTAAATGTTGAAGGTGTGAAAAGAGCGCTGCGCATCCACTACCTAAAAGTCTTGAGAAAATTGAAAAACGGCGTGCTACAGTTGGCGGATGTAAACAATATCCAGGTTTCACGGGCAAGCTCAAAGGCTGATTACATTGGAAACTGGCTACCGCAAATCTTGGCACCCGGACTTAGCGGCCGGCCACCCCGCGGCGTCCGAGGCTGACCTCAGCGATGGGAGGTCCGATGTTGTGATACTTAAAGGGGCTAAGAGCCAGTGAGAGTGAAGCGCTGCCCCCAAAAGACCACTGCGGTCAACCGGAAGACTCGGCAGACCATTTGGGCAGAACTTCTCCGACAAATTGGGCACCATATTGCTGGTTTTGCCCCAAAGGGCCGGGCCCACTTGCGAGAGGACCAGCTCCGGCAGCTGCGAACCCTTGACACAGGGCAAGTGGCAGCAAGCCCTCCTCCGCTTTTTATGCTTTGAGTACTTCTTCAATTGCCTTCATGTATCTTCACGGGCAGCTGCTTTCAGGCGATTGCATACGTTCAACGAGTGCAAACTGCCACAAGCCCAGACAAAGCAGCCAAACCTTCGAACGCGCAAACAGGTCGGAGAAGCCGGCGAGTGGAGCCAGCCAACAAAGGCCCCATAGTCCACCTGATCGTGGCTACAAGTGGCAATCTCGCTCAAGCCCCCGTCCCAGCCTCTAAGAACAATGGTCCTTGCTGAGACTGATTCTCTTCCATTTGCGCTCTCTAACGGATGACGTATCTATGTGGCTACTTCACCAGAGGCAACGGCCCGGAGAAGCTCCAAGGTGAGCAGTTAGTGCTACAGACTCTGAGCTCCAACAAATTAAAGTTTTTTGAGGGGCTGAACCGCAAAGTCCCAGACTCAGTCTTGCTCTGGGTGAGATGGCTTGCAACATACAAACTGAAAACATCCGCCAGCGCCCGCACTCTGGTGCCAAGAGGACTATTGACCAATGATGAACGACGAGATTTCCTGAGTCAGGCACGTTCTCATCGGCATCTGTGATGCTGTCCAAAAGGTTGGACAACCTCAGCGGGTTCCAACCAACCAGACAGACAGACAGACAGACAGACAAACAAACAAACCAAACAAACAGACAGACAAACAAACAAACAAACAAACAAACAAACAGACACACAGACAAACAAACAAACAAACAAAACAACAACAGCAGCAGCAGCAGCAGCAGCAGCAGCAGCAGCACCACCGCCACCACCACCACCACCACCACCACCACCACCACTAAACTCCGCCTAAGCTCCAAACTCAGCCCCAGCACCAGCACTGGCACCAGCAACAGAACATTCCCACTTCTTCCATCTCGTCTGGCATCCCGTGTGTTTCCTCTCTGCTGCGTCTACCAAAGCCAGAAGCATTAAACAGAAGTGCCAGCAAAATTTCGCACGGCAGCAGAAGCAACTGAAACTCACACGCGCTCATTCTTCTGGCTCTCCGAAAGCTTCGAGGGAAGGGTCACCGTGCGCTGGTGCAACCCAGCAGCTGCTGCTCCTCCGGGTTTGTCAGTTCTCTCGTCACGGACAAGTGGATGAGAGCCTGGATCTGACTGCGACGCTGGCCCCCCAAAGGGTGAAAGTGACTTGTGCAGTTTGGAAAGTAGAGCGGTCTGGGTGGGAAAACGTCCAAGTCATCGTGAACAAGCATGTCAGTGTTCCTGCTCATTTTAAGTGAGCAACCACAAACAACACACGTGCACGCACACACAAATCTAGCAATATTACAACTGGCCAGCAGTAAATGCCACAGTCACGCATCAATTTTTCGCCAAGATTTTGGGGTCGCCGTTCATAGACCCTTTTGTGATCAAGGGCGGGTTGGGCGAGACGCCTCTGCAGCATTTTCGCTTTACTTCCAATTCAAGTTAGCCTGAGAGGTCGTGCTGTCTTCCTTGTCATGCGATGTGATTACGCCTCCTGCAGCTTGCGCTTAGGTCTTACGAATCTTCTAGCCCTTTTCTCTTTCACATTAAATGACCTGCAAATACCGTCCAATTTGGATGCAGTTTGCTTTGACAGCCCGAACAACACTATTTCTTTCTGCACGTGCGGCCATGGGATATCCTTCAGCCTGCCTGGCCCGAGCCCTCCACCCCACAAGGCCGAGCGCAGCCTCCACGAAGGTCCGGTTGATCTTCCCGGATTGCCGGGTGTCGAAGTCCCGGAAGGCAGCGCATAGGCGGGCCTAACCCACCCTCGTGTTCATGTTTCACATCTCCGTTGTCTGCCTTCATGCCTTTGCATGATGTGTGAGGAACCCGACCAAAATGAATATGCAGGAGCTTGTCCTCTGCATCCCTGCAGTCTTTCTCCCAGAACAATAATTACGAACAATCGCGTGGCCTTCTCCTTTACGTGATCATCACCTGAAGGAAAATCGAGCAACATAAGGTTGGTCTGCTCTCATCCAAATTCGTTGTTTACTTCTGGTTCGCCTGCATGCTCTTCTAAACAAGTTGGTCCGGCAACACATTGCATGCCCTTGCGTTGGACAGCTGCAATTGCAACACACTGAGCCGTGGATGCTAGCCAGCCTGTCACTCGTATCAAAGCGTGGCTGTGCTGGAGTCAGATACTCTACCAGAATCCCGATTACGCCGGTTTAGCGGACGATTTTACTGTCTTTACCCCAGGCGAGCAACACGGCTGCTGATCAGTTGTGGTATTTGTTTATGTCTGATTTTACACTCTTCGCACAAAACAAAATGCCAAAAACGGAGTGTTAACTACGCGACCAACCAAGAATAATCTAGTTGGCTTCGTTGGGCTAGCTGGCTAGCTTCTCAATGTTGTCCCGTCCATGACCTTGAGGAGGACACAGTTCCACCTCGATGTCCGCAACAAAACACGTTGCCACCCACATGACGCAGGGATCAAGGCAATCCCTGCGATGCGCTCCCACATAGGCCTGAACATCCACTCGCTCGTTGATGAAAACCCTTCGCTTGTTGAAGTTCTGTGAACCCGGCCCTCCGCTGCTGGGGAAAGCCAGCCTCCAGTGTTTGCCACCAATCTCGGCGTTGCATTTCGTCTCAAGCAAACACACCTGACATGCAGGTAGGAAGAATGTTTTAACTTTGATGAGTCAATGAAGTTTACGAGCACTTGTGGAAAGTCTAGCTTGCTGCAGAGAAGGCAGGGTAATTGCATGGGCTTGGCGCACACTCCAGCCATTCAGTCTTATAGGTTCTCCTGCATAATTTGTAACAACTGTGTCATTTACATTTTGATCACACAGCGGGTCAAACGAGCCACCAAACTGCCCATAAATGACAGGTGGTTGTCTTACAACCACGCCTCCAAAGTCATTCCTGCAGCTGGCCTGCCAGTAGCTGGGCGACGCTGCTCTCTCTCTTTCTCTCTCTCTCTCTCTCTCTCTCTCTCTCTCTCTCACGTTTTGCTGAAACAAATCCGTCGCTCATCCAACACCAGGCCTGCATGCGCAACAGTCAACAACGCCATTGCGCTCCGACCAGCTATGTGTTGCAGCTCGGCGCTGCCTGTTTGTCAGTAGTTGGTTTGCCTGTCACTTCAAGGCCCTGTTCCCTTCCTGTGGGTTGTTTCATGAATATAATATGGCTGCAGTTCTGAGAGTGCATCGAGACTAATATGTTTCGTGAGAGGGACTAATTTGCGTCTGCCCAAGCGGTGAAACACGTGTTTAAGGGGGAGTCCCGGGCACTAGGACACAAGCACAGCTAGGCGGTGGCGTGGGCCGGCACTAAGGAGGGGCGGGGGCGCCAGAGGAGAGACTCGGCGAAGGACAGCTGAGCCGCAAAGGACAGGAACGCCGACCAGCGAGCAACGAAGGCGGCAGCCGTGGCGGAGCGGAAGGGAAGGGGGACGTCACGCGCCCGAGCTCGAGCGAGGAGGCGGACGAAGGACGCAGCTTCCTCGCTCCACCGGCCACCGACCTCAAGGGCGAGGACAACGAGGCGGAGAAGCTCGCGCCTAGGGCGGGCTTCAACAAGCGCCGCGCCACGAGTGCGCCCACCACGCCGGCGAGGCCGGCCGACGAGAGTTGTGTCAGCGGCGAGCTGGGCGCCGCCCCACAGCGGGAGACCGTTGGCGACAACTTCCAACCGGCGGTCGTCAAGGCGATCGACGGCCAGGTTGAGGTCACCCAGGCGGGTGTTGTTGGAAGTCACCCGTGCCCCAGCTTCACGGCAGACCCGAGCAGCGGCTCGCTCAAGGCCGCAACCACGGCTCCGCAGAACCCCGGACGTTGAACACGCTGCACGACGGTCGCCAAGAGGGTCCAAACAGCGATGGCATCGACATGTGTTCTCAGTGACAGGGAGTGGGAGACGGAGGCGACGGAGCAAGACCGTCCGGAACAAGTGTGAAGGGGCGGTAAGTTCGGGGACCGTCGGGGGGGCCGTAAGGACCCTACCAAAAGGGCCTTGCTGGGACTCCAGCAGGCCGGCGGACAAGCCCTGGAAAGCTTGGTCCTCAACGGCAGCAGTCGCTTGCCGCTGCCAGCCACGGGCGGGGTTGCCCGTGACGAAGAGACTGTCAGTCTCGTCAGGGAGAGCGGGGGGCTGGGAACGCAGCTGCGGCTGACCGCAAGCATGGCACGGAAGCTGCCAAAGAGGCGAAGCCCAACAACACCTGCTGCAACAACTCGGGGGCTTGCCGTTGGAGCACCGGCAAGCTGTCAGCCCACGAAGCCCAGTATGCGGCAGGCGCGACCGCCACGGCCGACCGGAGCCCGAGACCACCAAGGGCCGACAAGCAATCCCCCATGGCGACATCATGGGCCAGGGCAAAATCAACCGTGGAGTCGGGCGGCAACAAACGAAGCACATGGTTGGACCGGGGCGAGCAGCAAAACACCAACAAAAGCCACGAAGCCTGAACATCTTCCAAGCCCAGAAGCCGCGTGAGCAGGACACCGTACTGTCCGCCAAGGCGCGGAGCTGCGCCGCAACGAAAGGGCCCGACCCAACAGGCACGCCGAGCACAAGAAGGCCTTGCTGGGAAGGGGCCAAGGACCGCGAACCAACAAAAACCGGAGGCCAACTCAGACACGCCAGGTGGCTCATGCCCAGTTGCGTTCCAGACCCTGTTTTTGCCGGCATTGGGACGGATGCGCGCGTGTCGCCACAAAGCGTCCGAGATGTCGAAAATCGGGCGGATGCGGTCCGGACGGGCAATCAAGCACACATCATCGAGAAAAGCCAGAAGCAACTCACTGGGCGCCAGCCGGGCCTGAACCTCCGCCAATGCAGCTCTGGCCCCAAAGGAAATAAGGCGGGCATGAGCGGGTCGCCTTGCTCTCCGCCCTCGGCTTGGGTGACGGCGTGTAGTTGACCAGCCGCATCGTGCCACACGAACTCTGAAGGCGAAGCGTAAAACTGCCGCACAAAAGGAAGACACGATTCGCTCCGGGCACGGCCTGGAGGGCCTCCAACATGGCCTTCCGAGAAACGGTATCGAAGGCCCCGACCCCATCAGCAGACAAAACGGTCGCCCCGGGGTCGAGCTCGACAGCTGCAGTTAAGGCATGGACCAAAGTGTCAGCCCCTGCTCGGGTAGCCAAAGCAAGTTGGTGTGGGTGGCAAGCTTCAGGCCGAGCCTTTTTTTTTTGCCTTTGCCCCGTTCGAGTCAGGAGACTACGGTCCATGAAGGACACAGGGAACACACGAGGCAGTCATGTAGCTTGGCAAAACTGTACAAAAAGATGCTCGTTGTCAAGCCATTGCCTTGACCGAGCTGCCACCATCCACGTCCTGCCTTGCAAATGTTCAAGTGCAAATGTCCTCAAATTATCGTCCCACCTTTTCGGCGGGCGGCCTAGTTTCCTTCTTGGCGCTCTCAGGAAATTATGGGTCCAACCATCACCTGGAATCCATGTAACGACTGCCCATGGCCAAGCATCATCTCGACGAGATATCTTGGAAGCAAACCTGTATTGCCGGGTAAATAGTTGCTGCGTCCATGGCCTCAAAGGATGCATCGCCAGCGCGTGTTGCAGTCGTAATTTCATTCTGTGCATTGTGTCACGCCAGTCTTCACCCTCAATACGGACCCATCCCACAATAGATCGCAACATGCGACGCTGAGCAGCGTCTAATCTGTCCAGCTGGCTTTGTGTAAGCGGTAGTGTTGTTAAACCATAAAGTACACTTGGCGTGATGGTGGCCTCAAAGAACTGAAGTCTCAACTTCAAAGAAATATGCGGGTTGCAAAGCACTTGCTTGTGGCTTCGGAATTTGGCCCATGCGGCTTGGATACGGTGGCGCAGTTCCACTGAGCTGCGTTTGGACAGGTCTCCGCAAAGCAATTTCCCCAAGTAGCTGTGAGAGCGATCGCCCCACAACACTTCCACAAAACTGCCAGCAACTTCCAAGAAAGTAGGGCTCGCTAGCGAAGCGGTTGTCAAAATCTTTGTTTTCCGCGAATTCAACTGCAAACCAATGGCGCCCAGCTCCAAGATCAGACTTTCCAGCTTTTGCATCAATTCACTGCAAGATTTTGCATATAACATAATATCATCAGCAAAGCGGACGTTTGTCAGTCGCTCTTCTTTGCCTACATGAAGGCCATGGTTCCTCAGTGTCTGCTTCCAATTTCGCATGGCATGTTCCAGGCCTGCGTTGAAGAGCATGGGGCTGATGACGTCGCCTTGTTTGACGCCACGTTTAATGCTGAAAGATCGACCGCCCTGCACCGATCCCGTTTGCTTCCGGTACAGCGAAGTCAGTAAAGCCAGGTATGATGGTGGCACCCCTTGCCGTAACAGAGCTTGAAACAGTGCGTCGTGTTCAATCTTGTCAAATGCCTTTGTTAAATCCAAACTGGCAAACCACATGTCCAGGTCCCATTCCAGCGATTTGCCACAAACAGATTCAAAAACAAGCATTGCATCATCAATACTTGTGTTTTTCCGAAAACCTGTCTGGTCACAGGGTTGCTGTGCATCAAGGTACGTCTCCAATCGAGAATGCAACAATCGTGAAAAGGTTTTGTAAGATACATTTAGAACGGCAATCGGCCGCCAATTGGACACATCTGACGTGTCACCCTGTTTTGGGAGCATCGTAAACATTGTATGGCACCACGTTGGTTCCAACTGGCCGGTTGCAAGCATGGAATTGAAAATATCCAGTAAGTAGGCTAATAACTCCTCACTCGCATACTTGAACATCTCCACAACCAAGCCATCTGTATCTGCACATGTGCGGCTTCGTAGTTTGGACACTGCATGCTTCAATTCAGACATCCGAAAAGGAGGGATGTCTTGAAAGCCATGGCGGCTCGCATAGTCCATGAGTGAATTCAGCAACTCTGTTTCGAAGCCCGCCTCTGAAGAAAATAAATCCGACAAGTGCATTGTAAAATCATCGGGCTCAGGAGCACTGCGCGCTGCTTGTCTCACCGTGTGGAACGGAAAATTTCGAACTGATGCCAGCCTGTCCAGGTCTGAAAATTCAGATAGGATCTGCGCGGTCCTTGCGTTCCGTTTTCTCCGCAGGTATTGTCGAAGCTCCTTCCGAATTTGCTTGGACAGAACTGTTCGTTCACCTCGGGTGTCTGCTTGCTTGCGTCTCAGCAACAACTGCTTGAAGCCGTCACAGTTCCACGGCACATCGCATGCGCTTTTCTTGTTTTGAGCCTGCGTTTTATTAGCGGCCTTTGCAAGAACATCCTCAAGCTCGGGCACGGACCGTGGTTGAGAACAACATAATACCTCATGCAACGCTTGATGGTAATTGTCCGGCTGGCCTTTTTCATTCAAAACTGGTTTCCATCCACGTCGAATGCTGCGCTTCCGCCTGTTCAACGGCACGCGCTTGCCCAAATGGATTCGTGAGTAAACAGCGCGATGGTCCGAACCCATATCAAGGATATCAGTTGCAAATGCAGTGTCCAATATCAACTTTGAAGAGAACAAAACATAATCAATCCGTCGCCTTGCGCCCAAAGAGCTTTCAAACGTCCATGTTTCAGCATTTTTGTCATGGTGTTCGTCATCGTTGGCAATGACCAATCCAAATGAAGTTGCAATTTCTGTCAGCATGTCACTTCGCACACCGATTCCTAATTGTGTGTTGAAATCGCCACCGACAATTATCAAATAGCCTTTTTTGTTTGCATCATCCAATGTAAAGTGGAATAGTCATTAGAAATCATCCAAATCTTCTTGTGAGTAGCCACCATGTGGCACGTAGGCTGCAATAAAACGGGCCATGCCTCTGTCAGTGCTGACATCCGCAAAAAGCAATCTATCTGAAGCCGAATGTGTTGCTTTGATATTTGCAGAATGCCACCTGCCGCATGTGTTGGCTGTGTAGATGTCACGAAACGGTGTCCACCATCCAAAGTTGCGTTGATATTTGCGCAACGTGTCTCGCTGAACATCACGACGTCCCAGTTTGTATCGCCAAGTTCTTCCAGCATTTCGGATGATGCAATGCTTGTTTTTGAATCTGTTTGTGGCAAATCGCTGGAATGGGACCTGGACATGTGGTTTGCCAGTTTGGATTTAACAAAGGCATTTGACAAGATTGAACACGACGCACTGTTTCAAGCTCTGTTACGGCAAGGGGTGCCACCATCATACCAGGCTTTACTGACTTCGCTGTACCGGAAGCAAACGGGATCGGTGCAGGGCGGTCGATCTTTCAGCATTAAACGTGGCGTCAAACAAGGCGACGTCATCAGCCCCATGCTTTTCAACGCAGGCCTGGAACATGCCATGCGAAATTGGAAGCAGAAACTGAGGAACCATGGCCTTCATGTAGGCAAAGAAGAGCGATTGACAAACGTCCGCTTTGCTGATGATATTATGTTATATGCAAAATCTTGTAGTGAATTGATGCAAATGCTGGAAAGTCTGATCTTGGAGCTGGGCGCCATTGGTTTGCAGTTGAATTCGCGGAAAACAAAGATTTTGACAACCGCTTCGCTAGCGAGCCCTACTTTCTTGGAAGTTGCTGGCAGTTTTGTGGAAGTGTTGTGGGGCGATCGCTCTCACAGCTACTTGGGGAAATTGCTTTGCGGAGACCTGTCCAAACGCAGCTCAGTGGAACTGCGCCACCGTATCCAAGCCGCATGGGCCAAATTCCGAAGCCACAAGCAAGTGCTTTGCAACCCGCATATTTCTTTGAAGTTGAGACTTCAGTTCTTTGAGGCCACCATCACGCCAAGTGTACTTTATGGTTTAACAACACTACCGCTTACACAAAGCCAGCTGGACAGATTAGACGCTGCTCAGCGTCGCATGTTGCGATCTATTGTGGGATGGGTCCGTATTGAGGGTGAAGACTGGCGTGACACAATGCACAGAATGAAATTACGACTGCAACACGCGCTGGCGATGCATCCTTTGAGGCCATGGACGCAGCAACTATTTACCCGGCAATACAGGTTTGCTTCCAAGATATCTCGTCGAGATGATGCTTGGCCATGGGCAGTCGTGGGATGTCACTTGTGACGATACTTTACCATGAAGACCACTCCTGAAGTCATGAGAGCATGACGCCGCAAACAGGAACGTTTGACTCCGGCTTGCTTGCCTTGTCTTTTTTTTTTGGGTGAGCCTTGGAGCTCCAGAAAGCGGTGCACACGCGCCGGCGTGCTATGTGCACGCAAGTGGCAGTGCCAGGAAAGGATCCATTGAGTTTTGACACTTGGATTTTGCAGAACTTGGTTGAACAAGTTTGATTTTTGACCGAACATATTTGAACACAAACAGGACGCACCCGTTTGCCGATCTTCGCATGTGAGCATGTGTTGCTGGATGCTGTGTGTGTTGCATGTGTTCAAGAGGGTGGGTGGGAGGGATGCCCCTTCACGTTTGGCGTCGAAGGGGGGCATAGGTCGGGATAAGTCCCGGTAGAAGCCATGGACGGCGCTTCGGTGGATGCGGTTGCTTTTTCGCTTGGCACAAAGAAGGTTAGACTGTCCTTGCCTTGGGAGACCGGAGCGATGAGGCCAATCTTTGGGTCAGCTGTCAGTTTGGTCACTCCCCCGGTATGGGTGCCTATGGCACGCTCCGCTGTTGATGATGAAGCTGCGCACGTGCAAACGGTTTCTCAGAGACCACGAGGAAGCTGGACAGTGAAGACTTCTTTGTGCTCTTGGCCTTTAGTGGAGGAAGCCAAGCTGGCAAAGGCAATCGAGCAGTGGCGCGTCATCGTTCTGGACAGTGGTGAGGGCACGCTGTTGGGAAGACAGTTGATGTCCCTCTCTGAAGACGCGGGGGGCGCAGCGCAACAAATCTTGGGTGATGTTTTCGCAGGCAAATCTATAAGCACGCTCAAGGCCCGGGCTTCAGCTTTGCTCATGTTCGGTCGTTGGAAGAAGTCTCGCAATGCCGGACAAGAAGTTTCAATATTTCCGACGAGCGAGCCAGAGGTCTACAAATATTTGACTGATCTTCGGAAGGAAGGCGCTCCCAGGTCGAGAGCGCCGCGTTTTTTGCAGGCGCTGGGTTTCAGTAAAGGATTCCTAGGGGCGGATGTCGACCATATACTTCAATCTGCAAGGATCAAGGGCGCGACTGTTTCGGATGTACCTTTATCTGGAGTTCGCAAGAAGGACCCTTTGACGGTGCAACAATTGTTTGCATTGGAGCAACTTGCGTTTTACGGTGAAGGTCATGAGGCAATTTTTGCGGGGTATATTTGCTTTCTAGTGCACTGCAGGTTGAGATGGAGTGACGGCCAGTTTTGCAACGAGGAGCCTGTCGTACAGCGGACCAGAGAATTTGGTTCCCTTGAATGCAATTTGTACCACCACAAGAACTCAGGTCGGCAGCAAGGTTTAAGTAAGCGTTTGTTGCCCGCAGCGGCAGCTTTACCAGGCGTGTCGGGCAAATTTTGGGCAGAGACGTGGTTATTAAACCGGTCAAAGCACAATCTCAATGCTGGCCGGGGTAGGCCAACCATGCCTGCCCCGATGCGAAATGGAGGTTGGGCGCTCACGCCGTTAAGGCCGACTGAAGGGTCCATGTGGCTGCGCGAGTTGCTGACAAAAGTTTCTCCCAGTGGGCCGTTGCGAGACATTGCTTCTCACAGCTGCAAGAGTACTTGTTTGTCTTGGATGGCCAAGGCCAACGCGCCCATCGATCTGAGGCGATTGGCCGGTTATCATGTCGATCCGTCATCAAGGAGCGCGCTTGAGTACAGCCGGGACGCGCAAGGCCCGGTTCTCCATTTCTTGGGCGGCTTGTATTTGTGCATCAGGCAAGGTTTCTTTTTGCCTGATGAGACCAGATCTGGAAGATGGATTGGTTGCGTGTCGTTTGAAGATGCGATGAGCAAGATGGCTGTTGGTCATGTGGTTCCGGATGCGGTTGAAGAACAAGCAGAACCAGGAGACCAAACAGTTGTTCCCGAAGAAGAATATTCACCTGACATGGAAGTGGGCGCAAGTGTTTCATGTGCAGAATTTTTGTCCGCTGAAAACGAAGGTTTACGACAATTTATTGATGAAGGGGTGCTGCCAGGATTGCAGCACTCGGCAGACGAGCAATCATCCGATTGTTCGGAGTCATCGGAAGATATGCAGAGCACCTCCAGTGAAGGAGAACAAGAATGCCAAGCAGAGAGAGCGGTGTCAAAGGTGGCATCTTCGATTCCAGTCATTGACTTGGGGCCAGAAGCAGGATTGTTTAAACACAGATCCAGTGGTGTCGTTCACATCCAGAGGCACACGGTGCATGCGGACGAGCATGAGCAACTCTCACTTTTAAGGTGTGGAAGGTGGGTCTCGGCCAACTTCGTGAAATTGGATCGCGTGTTAGGCTCCGAGGCTACCCGTTGCAAAATTTGTTTCACTTAAGGTTTCCCCCGCCTTTTGTCAGTCGCCTCGCAAGCAACGGACACAGGCCATTGTCTCACTCATGCATGCAGGTGCCGAGACACCGCAAAAGGGCGGTCTGCTTTTCCCTTGTGCTTTTGGGGTGTGGTTCCACTTTTCTTTACGGGCCCCGCTGTAGAGTGTTCGCTTCGCCTCAGATTTGCACGAGTGGTTTAGTGAAGTCAGGAGTGCCTGCTGCAGGGCTTGGTGACAAGTAACCGCCTCCGTGATTGCGCTGGGTTTGTCCCTCGGTTCGTTTCCTTTTTCTTTGTGTTTCCCCCTTCCTGGAAACTTGGTGAAAGATAGCAAGCCTGCAGCAGAACGTGATCAAAGTTTATGTTTGATCCTTGGAAAGCCAACGGATCGGCGCAATGGCGCTCATAGACAGTCCTGCAGTCTTCAAGGCCAGATGTTTGGCTGTGGGCTTGACTGAGGATGAACATAACGCACTGTGTACCAAAGGATGGTCCACGTATGCAACCTTCGCCTTTTCAGTGCCTGTGCAGGCAGGCCAGGCGGATGAGAGCAGTTTTGTGACACAAGTAGTGCAGGAGGTTCTTGGCGACCCAAGCCATACTTCTGCAGCCAAGCTTCGTCGTTTGCACTTTGAGAGCTTCACCCTCACGGTGGCGGATCTCAGGAGGAAGGTTGATACACCCGAGGATTCAAAGCCTCGCAAGCTGCCACCTGCTGAGCTGGCAGACCGCATAGGAAATTTGCAAAGAGACATCGACCCTCTAAAGATCGAGGGCTCCCTTGAGCCATCCCATGCTTTCATCAACGCAGTGGCCCAGGTTGTTGAAGATCAGAGATTGAGATACATAGAGTGGAGCCGCTGCACCACGCGCAACCAAGAGGTGAACAACATGAAGGAGGACCACGCCCTCAAAGTGTGGCAGCCCGACGACAAAGGCACTATCAAAGAAGTGCCTAAAGAGCCTGAGGTGTCAGCAATTTTGTCAACAGACCTTGAAGTACACCAAGCGCTGAGACGTCGTGGGGTGGCGTATGCATTGGGTCAGCTCATGTCCTTTGAGCGCCACGAGAGGTTGGTCGCGTCTCTTTTTCAAGAGTTTCAACGGGAGCCACCGGAGGGATTCGAGAAGGTCAGCTTGAAGCAATTAGCCCAGGCTGATCGTGAGGCTCATTTGATGATGGCAGAGAAGACCAGAGCAGGCCTGGTTCCGGGCCCAAATGGTGAGCTGCCCTTGGACATAGTGGTTTGTGAAGTGATTGCGTCACCGAATTTCATGTGGATGTTGATGCCAAAGCCCAAACGGGCCGCAGCCCCGAAAGCGGAGGCCGCGCACAAGGCCCCAACCAAGAAGCAGGCTCAGCGCCCGCCCCCGCCGCCGCCCGAGCCGGTAGCCAAAAGGGCCCGCGTGCCAATGCCAAAGGGCCTCCGTGGGGGTGTGTCGGTGAACGAGGACAAGGAGCCAGTGTGTTTCGGCTTCAACCTCAAAACCTGCAAGCACAAGGGTAAGAAATGCCCAAAGGGGCTGCATGTATGTTGTGCCAACGGTTGCTTCAGCCCGGCGCATGCATTTGTGGACCACAAGTCTTGACTAGATCAGGACATGCCATCCGACTTTGAGAGCAAAGTTTCACCATGTGCAGATGAGGCAGACGAGCTCAGGCCGCTGCCAAGACAACACAAGCCAGCTCGGAAGTCAGGCGAGAGGCCTCCTTCCCACGCAAGTGAGCACAGGCCCTTGCAACGCTCCCCCACGAAAGCGGTTGGGAGCCCTTTTCAGAGTCACCGCTCGGGAAGCCGGGTGCGAGGCTCAAGCATCAACTTGTCGGAAAGCCGTTCAGTTGATGTCAGTGGCGAGACCGCCCCACTTTCCAGCAGCGAGCTGCAGGGCGAGACTAAGTTGGTCTCGTCGGAGCATCCGTGCAGTGGCACATCTGTCAAGCAGAGAGTGCCATTCCTTTTAGAGCTATTTTGCGGGAGTGCTGGAGTGACAGCTCAGTTCATTGCTCAGGGCGGCCGCGCACTGGGTATGGATCACGTGCTGAACAAAGCACGCATGAAGGGTCCCGCTGCCAAAGTCGACTTGTCCAGTAAAGCCAGCCAGAAGTTGGTCATGAAAGAAATCCGCGACGGCAGGGTTGACGCCTGTTTGTTGGCACCGCCGTACGGGACTTCGTCTCGGGCTCTGAGGACTGCAGCTTTTCCGGAAGGAGTGCCACGATTATCCGGGCTGGATCGTCTTCGAGTCAGACAAGCCAACAAATTGTATTCCTTTTGCCAACAAGTTTTTCAAGCTTGCGTGCGCCACCAAGTTCTGTGCATTGTCGAAGGCCCTGCTACATCGCGCATGTGGGAAACCAAATGGTTCACGGGATTAACGAGCGCTTTCCATTTTGAGCAGTTTGATGCCTGCATGTATGGCTCAGCGCATTTCACACAGACAGCTTTGCTTTCCACTGCGCCGTTGCCGCACTTGAGGGCCAAGTGCAACAACCGCCATCATCATGCTCCGTGGAACGCACGCGAAAGGAGTGAAATGTGGACTTTCAAGTCTGCAGGCGCCACGCAATACACCGCGCTGCTTTGCAAAGCCATCGTCACTCAGATGAAGGCTTGGTTGGAATCGCACGGCAAAAGCATGCAGGAATGCGACTCTCTCAGAGATCACGCCGCAGCCGTGCAGTCGCACAAGCAACCCAGACACACGCGAGGTCCTTTGCTTTTGCAAGACTTCAAGACCAAGGTGCATGTGCAAGTTCCACTGGACATGGACTTGCCTCCGAAGATCCCGGATTCAGCCCCGCACCCTTTACAGGGCTTGCCCCTTGGGTCCAAGCTGTTGTCCTCTCTGTTGCGAGGTGATTCACAAAGGGGAGACAAGGCAACGCGAGAGGCAGTTTTCGGTGTGTATAGGACACCTGGAGAGTTTTTCCGGATTGCGTCAGAAATCAGACACCCCTTTGACACGCCGCTGCCAATAGAAGATGCCAATCTGAAAGCGATTCAGGCTTTGGTTGAGAAAGGTCCTCACTTTGTGGCGAACTTCAGAGTGGAGCAGCTCAAAAAGTACATGGCTCTTGCCAGGAGTCTTGAGCCCAAAGAACGACTGCTTAAGGAGTCTATGCATCCTGATGTCCGGCAGGTCATGCAGTCAAAGCGTTTGCTACTGTTCGGAAAGATGCTGAAAGATGCAGGCGTTCAGGATGAGCGGCTACTGCAAGACATGGTCGATGGTTTCCGCTTGGTTGGGCAACAGCCTCCCAGCGGACAGTTTCCACTGAGTTTAAAACCTGCCGCAATTGATGTGGAGTCCTTGAAGGAGTCTGCCAAATGGTCCAAGCACATGGTACAGGCATCGTGTCGCCGGGCAGCAGCAGACGAACGAGTTGCAAAGGCTGTTTGGGAAGAAACCATGACGCAGGCAACTGACGGGTCTGGGTGGCTTCAAGGCCCTTTTGAGTGGGACCAGCTGGAAGAGGAGTTTGGGTCCACGTGGGTGCCCTCGAAGCGGTTCGGGGTCGTGCAAGGTGAAAAAATCAGGGCGGTGGACGACATGTCTGAGTTTCTCATAAATGCATCTGTTTCCACGTCGGAGAGGATTTCTCTTGAGGGCCTTGACGAAGTAGTTGCAACCAGCAGGTTTTTTCTGGGAGCCTCGCAAGGGAAGGGAATGGCGTTGATTCCGCAAGTGGACGGTGGGGTCAGACGTGTTCCGGTGCACGAGGCGTGGAGCTCCAGAGATGTGAGCGATTTATTTGGCCGGGCACTGGACCTGAAGTCCGCGTACAAACAGCTGGCCCGCCATCCCAACGATGCGTGGGCTTCCATTCTGGCGGCGTACGATCCGGCAAGTGATGCAGTGAAGTTCTTCAAGGCAGTGGCCTTGCCGTTCGGTTCGGTAAGCTCAGTTCTTGCCTTTAACAGAGCGGCGAGAGCATTGAGAATGATTCTCAGCAGGCTTTTCTTGTTGGTGAACACGAACTTCTTCGATGATTTTTGCCAGATGGAGACAGCCGTCCTCCAAGAGTCAGCGCACAAAACGGCGGAAACGGTGATGCAGTTGCTGGGCTGGACTATCTCCACGTCCGAGTCAAAGCGTAAGCCTTTCAGAAAGGTTTTTGACATGCTGGGAGCGACAATTTCATTTGAAGAGAGCGTTTCAGGAGTCGTGATCGTCAGCAACAAGGAAGGTCGCCTGGCTGACATTCGTTCCCTGGCAGAAGAGCTGTGCTCTGAAGGTGCATGCAGCTCATCCAAGCTCGCATCCTTGAAAGGACGGCTTCTTTACGCTGCAGGGCACACAATGGGCAGGTGCTCGCAGTTGGCCATCCAACTGATAGGTATCGCAGTCAAAGAGCAGGGTGAACTTGTTCTCTCACACACCGTCAAGCAAGCAATTGCGTACGCGGTTGCTACCTTGTCTGCCGCGCCTCCGAGGAGGGTGCAGCCATGGTCCACTGGTATGCCTATTGTGGTTTTTACAGACGGTGCTTGTGAGGATGAGCTGGCGTCGGTCACGCACGGGGCCGTGGTGTATATCCCTGGCAGGAGAAAGCGTTTGGTTTTCGGAGATGCAGTGCCCAGACAGTTTGTTGACTTTTGGGCCCGGAACGGCAAGAAGCAGGTGATATGCCAGGCTGAGCTTTTCCCAATCAATGTTGTCAAGAACACATTTGCAGATTTGCTTGCAGGCAGGAGCGTTTTGTGGTTTTGCGACAACGAGGCAGCAAGATCTGCGCTGGTAAAGAGTTACTCCCCGATCCTCCACAACTTTAACCTGTTAATGCAGAGTGCTGAACTTGACCTGAAGCTGGGCCTGACTAACTGGTACTCTAGGGTCCCTTCTTCGAGCAACATAGCAGATGCGGCATCACGGTTGAAGTGGGATGAATATCCAAGAGAAGACTTTGAGATTGTTTCACCCTCGTACGAAGGCCTTCCCGTGGAGTTGTCAAGATCATAGAGGGGAGGGTGGCACGTGAAGGCAAGGCTGAACCGTGTGAAGAGAAGCCTTCGATGGACCTCCCCGATCTTTGGCACACACGAGAAAGAAAAGGCGTGAGACCTTGACTGCAGTTCATTTTGCATGTGTTCAGTTTCTTTTTGCACCTAACGGATCACGCCGACCTCGTGGCCCAAGTTTGGTGGTGCTGGGCGCCCTTTGAGTTTTTTCTTTCTTATGACCATCCGTACAATTGTAGAGTTTCTTGTTTGGGTCAGGTGTGGGCGTAGGAGTAAGTGGGATGTCACTTGTGACGATACTTTACCATGAAGACCACTCCTGAAGTCATGAGAGCATGACGCCGCAAACAGGAACGTTTGACTCCGGCTTGCTTGCCTTGTCTTTTTTTTGGGTGAGCCTCTGTCGAGATGCGGTAAACGGACAAAACCACAAAGCGGTGCACACGCGCCGGCGGGATATGTGCACGCAAGTGGCAGGTGCAAGGGAAAGGTTCCTTTGTGTTGAGTTTTGACACTTGGATTTTGCAGAAACTTGGCTTGAACAAGTTTGATTTTTTGACAGACCATATTATGAACACAAACTGGTCGATCTCCGTTTTGGCAGATCTTGTTTGTAGCTTGTTTGTGAGCCATGTGTGCGATTGTGCTCGTGTGTGTTGCATGTATTTAGTAGGGTGGGTGTGGGGAGGGATGCCCTTCACGTTTGGCGGTGCGACACGCCCGCCCAACCCACCATGGACTGGTTGAAGGCAAAGGCTGAACCGTGTGAAGAGAAGCCTTCGATGGACCTCCCCGATCTTTGGCACACACGAGAAAGAAAAGGCGTGAGACCTTGACTGCAGTTCATTTGCATGTGTTCAGTTTCTTTTTGCACCTAACGGATCACGCCGACCTCGTGGCCCAAGTTTGGTGGTGCTGGGCGCCCTTTGAGTTTTTTCTTTCTTATGACCATCCGTACAATTGTAGAGTTTCTTGTTTGGGTCAGGTGTGGGCGTAGGAGTAA